GCGCGGGCTTGGGGCAAGGGTGGTCCTGGGCGGCGGGATCTGAGCTGGGTAAAGGTGGTTCGGCGTTAGAGGTCAAGGGCGCGATGGGAAGAGGAAGCGCGGCCAGATCTGATGGGGTTCGGGCGTGGTGGCGAGGTGAAGGAGGGAAGGTGGTGATTGGAGATGGAAAGAGGGGAGGCTGTGGTGGGTTCTGTGTGTTGAGAGGGAGAGAGATGATAATGAGATATTAGAGAGAGGTGGGGTGGAGGGGAGAGATTAAGGAAGGTTTAGAGAGAGAATAACGTGATTATGGGGGGAAATAAGAAAGAAAATCACACAATTATGGGAGGGAGAGAGAACGAAAGAGAGAGATGGAGAGAAGTCTGGCAGCTGGGTAACGTGAGAGAGGGGGGGTATATGTAGGTTTTGGGTTAGGGTTTATTAAGAATTAAATAAGAAACAATTAGAGAAAAATAGGAATAATTTAGAAAAACATTATAATTAATACAACTAATTGTACAATTAAACGAGAATAATTAATAAAAAATATAATTACTTACATTTAAAATCAAATAATTATGGAAAAATTATCTACAAAATAAAACATACAGATTATACTAATACAACAGATAATACGTAATAGTAGTAATAATACAACAAATTGTACAATTAAACAAGAGTAATAAATAAAAAATATAATTACTTATATTTAAAATCAAATAATTATGGGGAAATTATCAATATAATAAAACGTACCAATTATACTAATACAACAGATAATATGCAATAATAGTAATAATACAATAAATTGTACAAAATAATACGTAATAATAATATAACGTATTATATGAAATAATACGTAATAGTAAAAATAATACAACATATTATTCAAAATGATACGTGATAGTATCGATAACACAACGGATTAATTCCAGAAATTTTTACTGTACTAAGGTAATTTATAAATATCAAATTCATTTAATAAATATAAATTTTGGACTTTTAAATCATAGAAAATTTTAGAAAATCGATAAAAAATACAGATACTCTTTAAAAAAAAATAATTAAATATTTTAAAATACCAAAAAATTATTTTAACTAGTTTCAAAAATTCATGGTCCTTACATCTTCAAATGCAAGTGATTTTCTACACTTTTGGTCAAATACTTGCTCTCAATGATCTTCCAAATTTTTTTAGCTGAAGTCTCATTGATCACATCATACTTCAAGTCTGGAGGCAAACAAGATCTAATCACACCACACGTCGTTCTATTCATTTTCTTCCAAACCTTTTCCTCAATGTCGTCCGGTTTCCCGTCCAACTCCAATGTATCCTCCAAATTTTGCACGTTGAGTGCATCCAAGACTTCGCATCTCCAAAGTCCAAAATTGTTAGTAACATTAAACATTTCCACGTCTATCTTCATAGAGTGGATATTCAAACTTTAGACGGTGTTCACACCGGAAGTACAACCCACAACTCATTCTTTCTTGGCCATCTATCTCAAAGCAGCAAAACAATGCGGAAACAAATGGAGAATAGATCCAAAACTAAAAAAGAGAGATTTTTACCTCCAACTAAAACACTAACAAGAGTCTCCGAAAGATCTCACCACCACACGATGGAAGACAAGATCGCCAATAGTAAAAATCTCACATTTATCACCAACTGAATCCCTAGACGAACTTCCAAAGTGATCTACTCCTCCAAATAGCCCAAGCATAGCCTGAGCTCTGATACCACTTGTTGTACGCGACAGAAGCCAAAACACCAATGTGCTTCGAGAAACTAAACCAATCGCCGAGAGAGAAGGCCACAAACAATTCAAAATAACGGCACAATTACAAACAACCAATTTTAACATGGTCGGCAAGAAGGTGGATGGGGTTTTCACTAATAGAGAAGAAGAGCATAAACTAAGATTACAAATCACTCAAACTCACCAATTAATCTCACCAATAAATCTCTAATTCTCTTCAAAACAAAACCCTAAACAAATTGCTCCAGAAAATACATCTTTTCTGTACTCCAAATATCCCCAATTCGCTGCTCACCAAACCTAAAACGTGTTCCTATATATATAGAAATCCTAAAACCAAAAGAACACTAGGAATTCTAAAACCAAAATCAAAACAGATTAGGAATCCTAATAATTTATACCAAAACAGATTAGGAACCTCAATAACCTGCTACCAAAACAGATTAGGAATCTTAATAACCTATTACCAAAACAAATTAGGAACCTGCTATCTAACACATATGAAATCAACACCATTAAGAAATTATATTTGATGCATCTCTCTTGCATGAAAAATCCAAATTCATAACATCAAAAATATCAAATAAAGGATTTTAACTTGTAGGTCTTATTTTAAATGCAAAGCCCATCAAGCGCATGGAAATAAACGGATCTCTGTTGTCCTCTTTTTATACAGTTGTTGTTCATTCCATTTGCGGTTACCTTGTCTTGTAATTTTCCTAGAAAGTAATTTGGTTATTGAATTCATCTATGTATCATTTTTATAAGTTTTCATTGTATAAATATAAATTTTCGGAAATTAATTCTCTCAAAATAGTTATAAATATGTTGTTACAACATTGTTACCGGAAGAATTCCGATCCTCTCCCATAAAGTGGTAACTATAGAAGGTCCACTTATCCTAATCATTATTGTACATTCTAATTTTAATGGGTGAGATTAGGCCATATTCAGTTTCCATTATTGTTGAAAACTACTATTGTCTTAAGACTATAAACTTTATATTTTAAACAATTTGAGATTATTAACTAAGAATTCTCTTTATTCTTTCATAGACTCAATAGCCATACATATATCTAGTTTATAAATTAAATTGTAAGGTTTTGTTTGATTATAATTGAGATTAAATAAATACATTTAATATTTAAAGTTGAATTTCAAGAATGATCTTCTATTAGTGATTTTTTAATATGTTTATCACTCTTTTTAGTGGGTTTTACTTTAAAATTTATAACTTCAAAGCACATAGGAGAAGGCTAAAATTGGATGAAATTTCCACTTGTTGATTGAAAATGAACCAAATCCTAATTCAAAATCTTGAGGTAAAATAATATACAAGAAAGAGAATGAGAGTATTCTTATCAAAACTTATGGTTATAAATGTATCATGTTATGTCATTAGCTGATGGAGAGGTTTGCATGTAATTCGATAATATAATTTGAAAAAAATAGTTTAATAATTATGTGTCACAATGTTCTTAATTACTCTCATGATTATTTCATGAGAATCTTGTAAAAATTCACCTTACATTATTACAATCAAACAAAAAGTATCTCCAATTTAAATAACATTTAAACGTTTTATGATGCATATTGTAAACAAACATCTCATTTCTCATCTCTCTTGCAACGAACTCTGAAACTCATTCAATTTTTAGTTACAACTCTTTGAGTGTCCCCTATAATATCTTCTTCCTTCGCGATCTGAGTACCAAAAAAATCCAGAAATAATTAAAATACAAAATCAAACTCTAGGCTAAAATATATAAATAAGTGAGAGATGATTATTGCACGCCCCCAAAATACGCAGCTAATTTTGAGATGCATGACAACGGTAACACGTGTACAAAGCACATGTTAAGCCTGCGGTGCACTTTCATATTATAATAAACTTCATTTTAAAAGAAGGTTTATTGACAAATAAGAAGTCTCAGAGCAAAACTACATTATAACAAGTTCACTCTAATGAGTCAAAAGACTCTTATTACATACGCATAGTAGCATAACTAGTATAACTATAACTTCAACATCAAACACTCTAAAAGATTCTTCTCACGTTCCGAAGCTCCGAGGTTTTGATAAAGCTATCTAATTTTTATTTGAAAAGATTGAAAAACAACGAGGTGAGTTTACACTCAGTGAGTAGAAAACTTATCATTAGCGGATCAGTCAAGTTTAAGAATTTATCAATACTAAATTTAAATAAGCTGTTGTCAAAAAGAACAATTGAGAAATGCATAATATTTTGAATAAGAGAATTTCTAAGAATAACATTTTCTTGTGACATTGTCATAAAAGAATATTCACAAATTTAAGAAATAATAAGAATGGACACTAAATTCTTTTAAAAGCTGTAATTATCGATCTAATTTCAATTGCAAAACTTTCTCAGTTATCACACTAAGGCTACAAAAATTATAGCCCAGTAGCATGAGAATGCGCATCAATTCACTATAAGGCAACGCGAGGACAGAATGTACCTAGCACTACCATAGGTTGCCCGAAAGCCACTTCACTTTTGCCAAAAATGACCACTTTAACACTGGTCGATTCATTCAATATCATACGGTATGCTTAAATAAATCACTTCACTCCATAGTGGACTTCTGAAGAATTTTAACATTTAAAACACTTTTTGTTCTCATAGTATCGCTCATAATTTTCACTTATACGAAAAACATTATAAATGCTTAAACACATTTGCAAACTTTTCTCATATCAATCTCATAAAAATAGAATATTTATGAATCTAAACGAATATATAATTTATTTTTGTCAAACAGAACTCTTTAATAATGAATAGTAAATTTAAAATAATATATTTTCAATAATCTCATATACTAAACAATATTTATCTTGTAAAAGATAAATAGCTATCACATTCATATTTGTTAATAATTACTATAAATGAATAAAATAACATGTCTGATCCATCATTTCTCTATACAAAAATAAAATTATCATTTAAATAATATATAATAGAAAATAACCAATGAGAAAAATTCTACTCACCTCAAAAGATTTGCAATAATTTGGAGAATCGTACTCCAAGAACCTACTCCTCGATCAAACCTATAATCATACAAGATGCATAAAACTAAAGATTCTATACTCAAACTATTTTGGGTATTAAACTAATATTTCTAGTTTTTAGGGGGTTTCTAAAATATATTTCTATCTTTTTTTAAATAGACATTGGACCTAACAACAACTTTTCTAGTTTAGTGTGTCAAAAGGAAAATCTTTCCATTACATAGATTTCATGTAGAAATATTCCTTCACAGTTTCTGGACTTAAAACAAATTCTAAAAATTCTAAGGGATTAAGATAAAATTTCCTTTTCTTCTTCCTTGGGTCTGTTTCTTTACACCTAAACCCAAAATGGTTTGATTCTTTCTCTACAACTTGGAGTTAAATTGCAATGGGAGAAGAAGGTGAAAGCAGCAAGTCGATGACGAGTACAGTTTAAGTTTGTTTTCAGAACACCAAAATTAGTGTGGTGAAATATGACGGTAAAATCAACTTTGGTTTGTGGATGAGCAATGTACAGGATGCTCTCAATGCTCAGAACTTGGAGAAGACTATCATGGTCCATGAGAGACCATCAAAGTATGAAGAGGCGATATGAAAAAAGATGAATAGGAACGCTTATACGGTGATCAGGTCCTGTTTGGAACAGGAGCTGAAGTATGATGTGATTGGGGTGACGTCTACGATGAAGATGTGAGAAATTCTCAATAATAAGTACCTCATGAAGAGTGTTGAGAACAGGTTGCATTTGCTACATAGGTTATTCAGATTTCAGATGTCCAGAGGCATCTCGCTTGCGGCTCATGTGAACAACTATACAAAGTTATTGTCGGACTTGGCGAATGTTGATGAGAAGATATCGGATGAGTACAAGGCTATTATCTTATTGGGACTTGGCGAATGTTGATGAGAAGATATCGGATGAGTACAAGGCTATTATCTTATTGGGCTCCTTACCGGATGAGAGAAGATATCGGATGAGTACAAGGCTATTATCTTATTGGGCTCCTTACCGGATGAGGAGTATGACACATTGCTGAGATATTTACTTCAATTTCTTGACTCCTTTGTGAGTCAACGAAATCCATACTTTGATCTCAACGCTCGATGGTCCACGGATTAACCCCTGCACAGGCAAAGATCCCATGTAAAAAGTGAGTGATAAACGTACGTTGTGTGTGTTTGAAGAAAGTTATAATTTTTATTTTTATTTGTTGAATTCGTTGTAACGAATAAAGTGGTAATGAGTCCGATAATGAAAGAACCAACTTTCCACTAAAACAGGCATCGATAGGACTTTTTCGGGTCCTGGGGATGGTACTAGCAAGAGGGGTCTGAATGAAATGTCAAGCAATGATCTTCATCAAGCCCTTCAAGTATGCTTGGTCCAGGGAGCTTCTCTTGAGCAGGCTTTATTTTGTCGGCTTGAGCATATGTTGGCCAAGGAGAAATCGGCTAGGGAAGAGGTAGAGAAATAGGTTGATGCCTTGGAGGTTGAATTGGCCGAGACGGAGAGGTTGCTGGGGCATTACCAGACCATATGTTCCAGACAGTCTGGAACTATCCAGGGACTGGAACAAGAGGTGGATGCTTTGAAGTCGGCTGGTGGTTCCCTCGGTGACTCTTCTTTGGCAGCGGCTAGGAGGCGACTAGGCCATTTCCCTGGACTTGGTCGGGGACATTAAAGATGTCCCCAGTTCTTTTCTCTTCTTTTTTTAGAAGAAATATTAAAGAAATGTTGTAATAGAACATTTTTGAATGAAAGACTGACTTTTGCTTTTATTCCTAAGTATTTGGTTGAGGTTTTGTGGCTTGAGTAAGTTAATCGTATAGTGTCGATCCATATGTAGGAGACTACAATTAGTTTACTTTAAATGTTTTGTGTTGGCTTTGAGCAATTTGATCGACATGGATTCTTATCTAATGAAGTTTATGTCGATGGATTGTTAGACGTTTTTTTTAAAGGGATCGTACCTTGGCGCAAGAGGTCACGAGTGTTGGCCTTTTTGTTTTGATGATGTTTTAACAAACAATTTACTACTAATAATGTCTGTCTAGTGTTTGTATTTTCTTATTTATTATGGACAAACAATAAGTTGGAGGTTGGATGGAATTGCGCTTCAACGATCATATCCAATGGAGGTTAACGGAATAGTGGAGTGAAGCAATACAATTCAAGTTAAAGATTCAAGTTCAAGCTTCATCCGCAAGTTCACCAATAAGAGCTTCATTGAAGATCAAGTTACCTTGGGTAGTTTAGTTTTAGATTTATACTTGTGTGTAGATACTTCAAGCTCAATCACGTACACACATACAAGTTTTGGTTTCTTATATATACTAGTATGTACCCCGTGCCAAGCACGGTCCTACCCTCTTTTCTACAATTTGTTAATGTTGTTTGATCTCAATTTTATTTTTATACAAACTGGTTCCTACAGCTAGCAACTATGAAGAACATCAAATGAGTTGTATTTGGAAAATAGATGCCTAATAATATTGTATGGTGCAAATATAACAATACTACTACAACAACTCATACATAATAGCCTAATAAAATAATGGAATATGATAATTAACCTGTCTAAAAAATATTATCAAATATTAAAATTCACTACAATAAATCAATTAAGTATAATAATCTCTTTATTAATGTGTATTTTCAAAGATTCATTATTAATATTAAAGAGAAATAAATAGAAAATGAACAAAATTTTGACAGAGGAAATCTTCAGATCTGAGCACATATCAATAGTTCATTACTTTAGAGGAAATATTCAGATCTGAGTACATATTAATAGTTCATTCTCTCGTCAATTGTGGTAGAAGAAATCTTCATTTTCTCCTCAATAAAAGCCCTCCTAAATTTCTAAAAATGATCATTAACTATCATTGACGAATTTTAGAAACTTTGACTTTTAACTTCAAGGTTATACCATCCCTAGCCATCATTAACCAAATTTCTAAAGATCAAATAACTACTCAAAACTAAAATCGAAATAGCACAATAAAGGTCAATCTTTTTAGTGTATAAATGTGTGAAAATATTACTTTCAATTTTATCTCATGATTTGGCATGAAAGGAAATTTCAATAATTTAAGGTTATTGCAGTAGATTATAATTAATTATCAAATTAGGCAACATAATTATGAAGACTGTTACCTGTTATTTTGTCAATCAGTTTCAGAGACGAAGGTGTTGTGAAAGAAGCTGTGAAAAAACTAACATCCACGAAGCTGCGACTGTAATTTAAGAGATCTCGCATTTCACTCATAAAAATGATTATTATGAAATCATGCATGATTGGAACTTTTTATCGGTGTTTGTATTATATAAGGGAATGGCTTAGATAAATCCAATATCAAAGCTTCATCAATTGCTAAAGATTGCAACATCCTGTGTATGTACTATTGGTGAAACTTTGAAGAGAACTGACCAAGAGTGGAATAGAACACACATTAGTTACATGTTCTTCTATATATATTTTCTACATAACTAATTCTTCAATAATTTTAATGTATACAAAATGTTCTCTTATCTGCACTTTGTTACACTTAGTAAGGATTCAATACTTATCCCCAAATTAACAAAGATCAAGGTCAACATGTCAGTTTCCACACACATTTTCTTTATAATCTGGTCAAGAAGTTAATCTAAATTAGACAATTGCTTATAGATTAGCCAGCCAAATCTCAAATATGAGAAATTTAATAAGATAGTACTAAATATGATAACTAAAAGAACTATCACCCAAATATGAGAAATTTAATAAGATAGTACTAAATATGATAACTAAAAGAACTATCACCTTTTAACAATGATATTAAATAAAGAGAAACTTTGCTACAACTAAATATGATAACTAAAAGAACTATCACCTTTTAACAATGATATTAAATAAAGAGAAACTTTGCTACAACTCAACTGTTATGTGCTACTAAAATAAACAAATAAAATGAATAGGCAAACTAATGTGTGAAAGTCAATATTAGAATCGTACACAATATTAGATTTGCTTTTCTTTTTTGCTTGGCATTAGTTTTTCTCCCTTAACAAATTAGATTTACTTTTCTCTTTTGCTTGAACTACTCAAGAATTACAAGGTTATCTCATAAAAGGTGCATCTTTCTAATAGGACAATATCTATGTTGCCTTTATTTATAATAATGAGTTAATGACACATAAATACTCTCATGTGTAATTTACTAAGAGAATTCGAAAAGAGATCTTACTGACCAAAAGAAAAAAGCTTCTAACTTTAAATATACCATATTAGCTTTTAGAGGGCTAATAGTATGGCTCAACAAAAAGAAAAAAGCTTCTAACTTTAAATATACCATATTAGCTTTTAGAGGGCTAATAGTATGGCTCAACAAGCGAAATTTGTTATGTTTTTGCTTTGGTTGATAAGTAAAATGTAAACTGACTCTTTTTTGCTTCCTATTGTTTGATAGTTAGGAAGTATGTTTAGCTAAATCAACCATATCAAAACAAAGAAAGCTGTTACCCCCTCAATATTCTTAGTCAAAGAAGAGAACAAAACCCCATAAAATAGGCATGTAACCATGACCAAAGATTGGATTACTTCCTGCCAAAGAAGAGATGCATACAATAGCGTATTATGAGAAAGAAATAATACCTTGGGTTTTGAACATGTTGAATGCCATCCAATGATTGATCATTTATTTCATATTCTTAAGGACAGCAATAAAGTTTCTCCAGTTGAAGGTTGTGGTACGCATGGTGCATGCTACCAGATCGTTTAGCATATGCATGAGAATTGAGACCTCTTCCTTGGAAAATACTTTCCATAACTTTAATGTGCATAGACATTCAATTTTGATAAAGAGAGAGAGCAGAACTTCCCAAAACGAAAGACCCAAGTCCTGCATAAGCTGTCAGTATTAGCAACGATCAAAATCTTAGCTAAATGAATAGTTTGAAATGTAAAGTACTTGGATCAACCTACCAATCAATTACCAAATGATAAAAAGTTACAAATACTTGGAATGTAACCCCTAGACGTATTCATGTATACTTAACTATCAAATAGATCATGAGAAAATTTATCATCTCAGAAAATAACATAAATTGAACAATCAAAAAATAAAGTGAAAATAACATAAACTATCTTCTAATATGACCAAGGATCTACACATATCAGGTGCAAAAAATAGTATGACATAGACATGAAACTTGTTGCTTCTATAAAATCACATCAATAGTCATCAGCTTAAGCTCATGCAAATTCGCTTAAAGGAACAAATTCTTGAGAAAGAGAGAATGTTTGATAGATTTAATGTAGAGAAATAAATTAAGTATTCACACAACTATTTTGTCACTTGTAGGAGTTTTCAGACTTTTGACTTCTTCCTTGCTTGTTCATTACACAAAGGCATGTGCCTGTAAAACCAATTTATGATTAGGTGTCGTGTTTACAGAAAATTCAAATTAAATGTCTTTGTAAGAAAATATAGAGGAACCAAATTCACATTTATAAATAAAGGAGGAGCATACTGCAATATATTCAAAGAGAGACAAAATAATAGAAACTTTTCATATATTATTAATAATATGGATAACATACCTTCAAAGTCTACAGTACATCTTAAAGAAAGTAACTCACTAAAATAATTGTGCCCCTTAAAAGCCTAAACAATGAGTAATATTTGAAAATTATTTTGAAATCAATCTTTCAAATCATTGAAATTACTTCCAAATAAACACATGCATATATAATTAATCAAAAAAGAGATTCATGAGCTTACTTCAACATGTTCTCCAATTAAAGCTTAGTCATATTGTGGCAAATAGTTTCAACATGTATGGCAATAGGAAAGCAAGAACCAAGAAGAGTGAATCTTGCTCAAAAGTCAAAACCAAAGATAAAAAGGAAGTTGTTTCTCCTCTCTTTTGGAAATTGATCTAATTGTCCACAGAAGTCAAAACCAAAGATAAAAAGGAAGTTGTTTCTCCTCTCTTTTGGAAATTGATCTAATTGTCCACAGCCAAACCTCATGTACCACCAATTCTTTAGTCAATGCGACGTAGTTCCACATTAGTCATCTTTCGCTAATTCTTGAGTAATTTTTCTGGAAGTAATTGACCTAATTTGAAGTTTTTTACTCTTTCCTAATCATAATATAGTCTTTGATCATATTCTTTTGAGTTATAATTGCATCAAAATGAACAAATTAAATATCAAAAATTACTAACATCAGTTCTTAAAGTCTCAAAAATGGTTTATTTTTACTTGTAATCATTAAGTTTAAAACATTTTCCAACATTCACCCAATAAATCCTTTTGACTCTGTCATTGAACTCTTTCTAAACCTCAAATGAGAATCCTAAACCTCAAATAATTAAAGAGAGATGCATTGTTAGTGTCTCTAATCTAAAATAAAATTTTGGGTTTAAAAATAAAATATGATCTCATTCAAACCAAAATTTCTCAAATTTCACCTGCCTTTGTCATTCTTGCCACATTGCTAGCAAATGCTTGATGGAGAACTTGATGCTTGCAAGAACATAAAAATGAAATAGCATATATATGTATGTATGTATATGTGTATGTGAGTATGCGTGTGTATACGTACAGTTTGGATATCTTGAACCGTCATTCGGCTGATGTGTATAATATGAACATACACATGCTTACCATGTGGGAAAAATCAATCTTTAAGAGGAACCACATGTAATTCAAACCGGATAATCCAAAGAGTCAAGGATTTCTTTTAATATCATAAGATGTATTGTTATCAAATGATCGGAATAGTTATAGAAATATAGTTTAATTAGTGAAAGTATACTAATATTTTCATTTTCATAAGGATAAGTCATGTTGTATGTTCCTGATGTCCTCACTGTTGTAGGCTTGTAGCAGGTTCATCCTTGCATGTTTCTTAGGAAGATTTGCACTCATTTATGTATGTAGCATGCATGCTATAATGTGATAAAAGACATGACAAAATCATGCCAAGATCTGCACACCTCTATGCCTTGCTCCATGTACCATTCTGGGGTTTGCATTTCCCCACCAGAACCGACACATGTATGAAATCCCTGAAACATCAGTTAAAAACGATTAAGAATAAGGAAAAAGAGCCATAAGACATTGATTGATTAACCCCTTTCATGAAACAAAATAGAAAGTGCATACTCATCACTTAAGAACTTTGGTAAGTACAAAGTAGAACATGTGTGCTGTATATTTTCAAACTTACTTAACACTAATTTCAAACTAATATGCAACCAAGATAGATCATCAAAGAATGACAATCATTCATAAATAAAATTCAGAAATGAAACTTTGAGGATGCTACTTTAGAAGTAACTATGAGAAGTAACTAACGTCTGTTTGCATATATGTAAGTTGAATATACAGTGAAATCATAATAGGATTCTTATAAGCATACGCACTAAAAAATAACCATAAGTAAAAAATAACAAAGAAAATAAAGTGAAAATAATAACAACATAAAGCTAATGAATAATTACACCATGTAGTTTTCCTTTGAGTGTCTCAACCTAACAGTGTTCAACCTAACATTTACCTCTTGCAAGAAATTCAAAATCAAAGATCGCATTCAAACAATAGTATGAAGGAGCTCCACCTGAGTGGCCACTGAAGCCATCTTCATGCTTGCTTGAACTGCAATTACCCTTGAAGCCCCAGCTTGAGCTGCAAATAGACTAAAAATTGTAAAGCGAGTGCATGCCTGAGGTCCTGTGGAAGTTCAAACTTAAATAAACAATAATAATGAGAGGGTAAATGTTTATAGATTACTGTTCATCATAGTTTTTAAAATGCCAAACCATCAAACAATATTTCTAATCAGCATACACAATTTCTTAATCCACTTTCTGCGTTATATTAAGGATCCACACATACTACTCAATACCACGTTCATAAACAAAATCGTAATCCATCCTTTTACATGAACTATAAATTGAAGCATTACTCCCACGTAAAATAATACAATCAAAATGGGCAAGTAAAGGTATACCTTAGAAATTCAAAATAAATTCAAAAATTACATTATGTTCCAAGAAATTCAAAATAAACTGGAAAATGAGTTGTGAAGAGATACATTGTCGTCTTTGTCATCGAGGTCTTTGGAGTTAGAAGCTTATGGAAGAAAAAGAGGAGAACCTAATAAAATAATCTCAATCATATTCGATCCCCATTCTCTCTTCTCCTTCATCAAAAGTCGAGAGAGAACTCGGTTGTTCCTCAATCAATCACAAATCAATCAAAAACGAACAAAAAAGAAAAAAGATTTCACCTTTAATGACATCAAGATACTGGATAGTCTCTCTCCCTGTCCAAAACTCCGCATCCTCCATCTAGAGCTGATGATTACGCCGACGTTGATGCCAATGATGACGCCGACGGGATTGAAGGCTTCCGCTAGAGGAACTTAGGGTTAGGGCTTCTGGCCTTAGAATCCTCCGGCAAAGCGGCGAGGATGCTGAAGTTGTTCTCCAGATGGAACAACGAGAGAGACGATCTGCTCGTGCTGGAGTTAGGGCTAGGGTTTAGAGGGGAATGGTGGTGGATAGAGGTGCTAGGGCTTAGGCTTGGGCTATGGTTAAGGTTAGGGTTTGGATCTGTATCGGTTGAGAAGATGTTGAGCTCGAAGATGGCACCACCACCGGAGAAGGCGGCGGAGGGAGGGGAGGAGGATAGGAGACAGTGGAATCAGTGCGGAAGAGGGGGGGACTCAGGGGCTGTTTGGTTGTATGTTTTTACCATGTAAAATGATGGAAAGCGTAAAAAAGTGGGTCCTAATGTTAGCTTTCATCACTTTACATTGTTTGTTTAAATTCTCTTTTACATGAAAAGCTTACACCTTTTGATGAGTTGTCACCGAAAGCAAAATCACCAAAATTAGGAGTGATTTTGTTGGAAAGCTTATACTATGTCATAAATGTGTCCAAAAAAATAATAAAAAAGTCAAAACCTTGTAGAAAGTGGTGAGGTGGATAACCACTTTCTATTTTGTGTCATAAATACTCTAGTTTACATTATACTATCCAAACAATGTAATACTATTATTTTAGGATTCACAAAGATTCCTAACCAAACAATGTAAACACTCAAATGAAAAGTGGTGAGGTGGATAACCACTTTCTATTTTGTGTCATAAATACTCTAGTTTCCTAAAGGCATCCAAACAGCCCCTCATATGGAGCGAGGGGTTTTTTCTTTTTGTTGCTTTTTTTTGTCTCTGGATCGGGGTGAGAAGCATGAGAAGGGGGTTTTGTATTTTGAAAACTGATCGGATATCTATGCAAATGGGAGGAGAGAGAATTACTGTTCAATTCACTATAGCATGAATAGTTATTCTTCCATCCTCCTATTTGTATAAAGGAATAGATATAGTTATATATATATATATATATATATATATATATATATATATATATATACACATTTTGGTTTTTGGTTTTATCCACAAACAAAGTTTTTACAAACAAATAGATTTTTGTTTATATACATACATGTTTGTTTTCATGTGGATAAATGGTTTTGGTTTAGCTTTATAGATATGAAATAAATATACATTCATATTCACATTTACTTGTTTCACATTTATCATTTTGTCAAATGCATATTGTGCAAAACTTTATTTTTTGGATAATATTAATTTTATGGTTTATAGACTTAACAACAATAGTTTATATCTTTTATCAAGTCCATAAAATTATTTTATAAAGTTTCAAAACATGGTTTAGCTAAAATGTCAAAACAAGTGTGTTTATATTTACATGTTTTGGACTATTTTGAAAAATAAAGAGATTTCTCATTTGGAAGGTGCTATTTGAAAATCAGTTTTTATAACATGTTCATTTTTATGTTTATAATCATTTTTCAAAGTTTTATATTTTTTGGATTTTGTTTGCTATTTTTAAAGGCACTCAAAAACTCATTTTTAAACATGCACAGTGCCTGTGCACGTTTATAAGTCGACTTATGCCAAGAGCAAGTCGACTTATGAAGTGCTTTGGAATCAGCAGAAAGTTTCTGCTGAGTCGACTTATAAATCTATAAGTTGAATTATGCTATAGCAAGTCGACTTATTATTCCCGTAAGTCGACTTATGTTCTGTTTTCTATTTTGTTGTTTTCTTCTGCTAAGTCGACTCATGTGCATGTCAAGTCGACTTATTACATATAAGTCGACTTATACCTTTGAACAAGTCAACTTATAATATGACCATTGTACAGTAATGACTATTTCTAGATTTTGTGTATTTTAATGTTTTTATGAGTTTTTGGGGTTTTCTTAGACTAGTTTCTTCCACCCTATATATACCCCATTGCATTTAACATTTTGATTAACCAAGAATGTTTTAAATAAGTTTTACAATGGTTTAAGTTTTGTTTAAAAGTGTTAAGAGTTTATTTGTGAAGAAACTTTCACAATAGCTTGAGGAAGATCATCAATTGTGTTTGAGCATTCAACTCTTCTCCCTCTCTTTCTTGATCTATAGAGAAGTTTTTCTTAAACTCAATCCTAGCTATTTTATATGTTTGAACATAATTTCATAAGCTAGATTTACATTAAGTTTATATTTTTTTATCTCTTTACGTACACACACAACCATTAAGCTTATTGTATTTACATTCATAGTATAATTTGGAGTTGTGGTGTGACTTAGAGTGTGAGCTTTCACTATGTTCTCATCCATATTAGAGAACAAACATTTGTTGTATCGAGCGTTAATTGTGAGATATAGTTTGTAATATACTTGTACATCGAGAGGAGTGTGTGGTGAGAGATGGGATCGTCCCAAGAGGAGTAGGATAGGTGATAATGCCTAGAGGTAGGTTATAATTCTTAACACATGAGGGAGACACGGGCTAGAGATCAACACTTAGAGGGTGTAAAGTGGGATTACAAGAGTGTTGATTGTAAAGTTTTCGGTGAACTAAAAAACCAAGTGTGAGGTGTAAACGTTATTCGGGTGAGCGTAGAAAACCTGGTTGTGATAGTGGAGATCCCCTCGAAGTGAGGAGCGGAGACGTAGGTCAAGTGATTAACTGAACTCTGTGATCATATCGTTTATTTGCATTTGTCATTGGTGTTCCTTTATATTTGTGTCTATCATTTATATTACCTTTGTCAATTGCTTGTTGTTTATATTGCCCTATCACTTTAGTAGTTTGTTTGCCCTTGTATTATTTGTATATCCTTGCATATATATCTTTTCATATATCATACTTGCTAGGATATTTGTTAATTAGTTTTAGTTAGCATAAAATCGGATTAGCATAAACCCTATTCACCCCGCTAGGGTTCTTTCAACAAGGGCCTTTTTTTGATTGAATGACAACCCGTGGGTTGGGTGCCTAGGTCTTACATAGGTGCCTAGGTCTTCAGATCTCCTCTAAGTGTTAGGTCCTTTTGTTTTGATGATGATTTATAAATAATTTACAACAAATATTGGTTGTCTAGTGTTTATATTTTTGTATTTATTCTAGGCAAATAATAAGCTGGAGGATGGATGGAATCAATCATTCACGATTATATCCAATGGAGATTGGCGGAATTGTGGAGTGAAGCTATGCAATTTAAGTTGAAGATCCAAGTTCAAGCTTCATCCGCAAGTTTACCAAGTCGAGCTCATTGAAGACCTTCATCAAGCTTGGGTAATTTAGTTTAGGTTTTATATTATGTGTGTTAGTACTTTAAGCTCAATTATATACACACATACATGTTTTGGTTTTTGTATATATATCATTATATATATACATATATGTTTTGGTTTAGCTATATAAATATGAAACAATATATATCTTCATATATACTTTTATATGTTTCATATTCTATTGTATTTCGAAAAATATTATGTTTTTGTTTTATATGATTTATAGACTTAACAACTATAGTTTATACTTTTTATCAAGTCTATAAAATTATTTTACAAAGTTTCAAAACTTGGTTTATGTCAAAACATCAAAATTCAAGTATCTCATATTTTCATGTTTTGAACATATTTGTAAAATGTTGATATTTTACAAATGGGAGATGCTTTATGAAAATCAGTTTTTGTAACATGGGTATTATCATGTTTACAATTATTTTCTAAAGTTTTATATTTTTTAATTTTATTTGCTATTTTTAAAAGCAGTTTAAAAATCAGATTTTCGTTTCAGGCTGATAACCTGTTATCAGTCGACTGGTCAGTCGACTGATGGCATCAGTCGACTGATGTGCCGACTGAAGAAATCACTTGGAACAACAAATAGTTTCTGTTTTGTTTTGGTCGACTGACTATTAGACCCGGGAGAGGGGGGTGATTAGGGTCTTATGCTAATCTAATCCGATTAAATGCCAATTAAAATTAATTAACAAGTTATCCTAGCAAGTATGAAATACCATAAGATATATGAGCTAGGATAAGCAATGTAAACAATGAGATATATCCTATATGATGAATTATATATATATACAAGGATATATAAACTAACACAAGGGGTAAACAATATGAACTAGATAGTGGATCATATAAATAATGAGACAATGGCGAAATGAGCAATGAGCATAAATAAGAATAAACGCCAAAGCACATTCAAACACACAATATGATCACGGAGTTCGGACCTTCCGTCCTACGTCTCCGTTCCCCACTCCCGGGAAGAAATCCACTATCACAACCGGGTTTTCTACGCTCACCCGAATAACATTTACACCTCACAGTGTCGATTTTCAACGCTCACCGAACAATGTTCACTCCTCACACTCGGTTTTCTAGTTCACCGAAAACTTCACGACACACTCGGTTTCTAGCTCACCGAAAACCTTACAACACTCACAATGTAACAAATATAAATTTGTTCTCTACAATAGATGAGAATACAATGAAGCACAACTCAATGTTACAATCTCTCACAACCCTAATATACTATGTATGCAAATACAATAAGATCAAGTGGGTGTGTGCAACAATGAGTAAAATCAAATCTAAACTCAATATAAAACTAGCTTTAATGGAAATGATAATTAACTAATAATTGATAAATAAAAGCTAGAGTAGAGTTTAGAAAACTTCTCAATAGATGACAAGATGGAGAGATGGAGATTGAAGCCCAAACAAGAAGATAATCTCCTCCACTTGTGAAAACCAAAACAGCTTTAAACCAAACCCTTAAACAAGCTTAAAACAAGCTTAAACTCTTTTTAAAACTCTTTAAAACATTCACTTGCTTCTTAGTTAGAACTGAGGAAAGGGGGGTATTTATAGAAACCCCAAAGCCAAGAGAAAGCCAAGAAAAAAAGACCAAAAAACCATTCTGCAACGGCCAAAAGAGCCATTGGAACTACAGTGGTCGACCGAGGAAAATCGCGGTCGACCGCGAACAAGGTCAGAAACTCAGGAGATATCCAGAGAGTTCGTCAGTCGACCGCACTGTAGCACGGTCGACCGATAGTACTATAGCACTATATATGCAGCTCTGTAAAATCAATTAAAAATAGTAAATTAATTTAAAAAATTGTAAAATTTTGAGGGAATGTTCTAGATATGTATAAGAACATGTTAGAGAAAGAATTTCTGAAAAATCATTTCCCATTTGAGAGAAATAAATATTTGAACATAGAAATACAGTTTCTGAAAATCTGCTGTGATACACGATTTTGTAAAATCAATTAGACACAGTAAATCAACTCTAAAAATAGTAAAATTTTGAGAAAAGTTTCTAAACATGTAGATAAACATGTCAAAGAAAGAATTTCTTG